ACATGGGCTTAGGGTCCATGTTTTTAAAACAGTTGTGTATAAGGACACTTATGGAAAATTTTGTGACTTTCAAAGAAATTGTAGTGTGGTATTTTAAATCATTTTGTCTGTGTATTATGAATGGCACAAAGCTGGACATTAGGAAAAACGTCTTTACCATGAGAGTAGTCAAACACTGAAAAAGGCTTCCTATGGGGGCAGTTGATGCCCCAGGCCTGTCAGTATTCAAGAGGCAGTTGGATAATGCCCTCATTGATGTGCTTTAACATTTGGTTAGTCCTGAGGTGGTCAGGCAGTTGCATTTGGTGATTTTTGTAGGGCCCTTCCAATTGAACTCTTCTATATTTCTGGCTTTGACTTTTGCAATTACTCCAAGTATCTTAGGATACCTTCAAGAGTTGAATTTGAATGAAGAACGTGTGTTTTATATATGTATCCTGTAAATCAAAATATAGTGGGGGTGAGAGAGATTTACTGAGATGGGGTGTGAAGGTTTTCCTTATGTTTTGAATTTTTAATACATAAACGTGAAACCTTGATGTAGCAAATTTTTATGCTATCAATTTGCTTGTCTGTGTCCACATTCTTTCTTACTGTGGGGTTTTAAATTTATTTTTGGAGTGTGAATTTTGTGATGTATTTTTCAAGGATGTATGCTTTCCACTGGATTAGCAAATATGGTGGCTATAATACCTAGACCAATTCTCTGCTAATGTGCAAGTACTGAGCACATACTTGTATAAGGAGCTGTAAAGGTGAAACTATGGCTGTGACTTATACTTTCCAGGATAGAGAGGTGATTCTAATTTCAAAGATCTTGAAGCAGTTTTTAGTTAATAGAAGCAGTAATGGTTCAGTTAAATAATAAAGTAAAAATCTGTACTTGTCACATTAGGCTTTTTTTTTAATTATTATTCATCATGAATGGTTTAATTTCTTCCACGGGCAAACGACACAAAATATGCTGGGAATATTGTATGCATTGCACATCTGCATAATAATAAAGAACTTTGTTATACTCTGTGTATGCTTGTTCTTAAATCCACAGGCTTTATTGTGATACACATACAGAAATATTCTTAAAATAGACCTCATTATAGCTGCCTCTGTGTTTTGCATAGCCAGTGCTAATTGTTTGAATAGCAGTTACAGCTGCAGTTGGGTTTTTACCTTTGTGTCAGCAAATTATTCCATATAAAGAATGCACCCACTATTTTTCTCCCCAGCTTCAGCTAGTAAAATCCTCTAGTAATAAACATGTGGAGAGTGTTCAGGTCATTAGTTCTTGGCTTTAGATAAACAAAACCATAAAACTTCTGAAATCTTCAGAACTTTGAATCAGTGTGTTTGTGTCTTGTCTAGGTAGTTGTCTGGCGTTTCCTTTGTTTGCGCACTGAAACATGTAAGTTTTTGTGACATTCTGTGTTGGCTTCATCCCCTCAAAAGATGCTTTTATGATCACAAGATTGCATATACCTGTGAAATAGTAGGAGTCACTAATAAAGCCATGTAAGTCATGAAGCACAGGTGCCAAACACTATATATATATCTTGGGATAGCTTAACATCTCAGGAAGGAGGCTAATTTTAAGATCCTGTTGCTACAATCACCTGGTGAGTTATGCCCAAACTTGCAGAGAAAGATGTCCATGCTGCTGTTGGAATCAAACTAGTACATACAGCACTAGCATGGAAGCACACCTTTCAGTTGCTTGCAATCTGACACAAAATAGGTTTATAGGCAGAGGTTGTAGAAAAGACACAAAGGTTGTCTTGTAGGGGTAGACAGTTTGAAGTTGAGAAAAGCAGGGAGATATACAGCATGCAAAATATCTACAGATTTTAACCGCCAGCTCTGTTACAAAATACTGAGCATTAAAGAATTTCAGGATTCATTGTAAGAAGTTCCTGCTGTTGCCAAAATTCTTAATAACCTGTACTAGTGCTGCTGCTGCCCATGGCCACCATGCGTACAGTGCCCTTGTCTTGAAGGGAGAATCCACTCCTCTCATCTTAATAAGTAAATGTTTTTGAGCCCAAATATTCTTGTAAGCATGCCATCTGTTCAGTCTCACAGCTTTGGGCATTGGTAAGATCATCTTGATTGTGTTCAAAAGAAAGCAGAGGTTGAATTCTGATGTTTCTTCTGTCAGCAAATTGATGATATTCTATAATTCTAACACCGTAAACTGGCGCTTAAACATGTAATTCTTATCTTATTAACGAGGAGGTATTTTTTTTGCTGTAACTGAATGACTAAAAATAATTGAGAGCTCACTGGGCAAGTGGCCAAAGCTCTGAGCTAGTAAAAATCTCTGAGCTAGAAAAAAATCAAATCGTTTATGGAATTTTTTTCCTTACTCAGCCTGCTTGAGCCAACTGCCGATGCAAGGCCTAGAGGTTGCAGGTTGTCATAAAGTTGAATGTGAGCTTATTTGAAATGAATCTCATCAAATCAGCTTGGATTCATATAAAACTGCTATATTATCTTACCACAGCTAAGTTAATCTTTCTACAGCATTTTTGTCAATCTGAACCCTCTGGTTGCAGAGAACTTGCAAAAGGAATCGTGCAGTGAGTTTTATTTTGAGCAAGAAACCTCCCAACTAACTGATATCATTCAGGTATGCTCTGTCAGTGTGTGGGATACATCTGTTGCTTGCTTCTTGAAACATTCATCTGGCTGGGATCTGTTCACTGAGATGCTTGCCAGAAAAAATGCCAGATACTGGAGAGAAAAAGGAATACAGAGCCTTTATATGCAAATGATAGTGCTTGCTTCTAAGATCCCAAAGAATGTGCATTTATTGCCTGCAATAAGATCATTTTAATTGCATGCCTGAAGGAGGAACATCTGTGTGATGGTAACTGTGTTTCTCCAAGAAGATGTGATCAGGTGCTTCCCTTGATCCAGATGCTGGGTTCTAGCTGGAGTGGTGAAGGGTACCAAGGATGCTTCAACTCTTAGACTGTGCACAAAAATACAAGCAATAGCAGTGTATGGGTGCTGTGTGCTGACCTGAAAATCAGATGTGTGGATGTTCTCTCTTGACTTGCTTACTCTGTTCTTACTCTGTTATACCTATGATCTTAATACTATTTTTTTTTTTTTTTTTTTTTAGTATGGTGTCGTCCTCGGGCACTGCTAAACATAGTGCCATATGCCCATCACCATAATTCTATCTCGTTCTGTTCCAAATCTGCTGATTATTTTTCAGGAAGTTATTAAAAACATTCTGGAAGGAAAACACACCTGCTAGATATAGACACATTATTCAAATGCCAGGAGAAAACCTTCTCTGTATGTACAGTAATGAAAGCACAGAATCTTAAAATAGACTTCTGTGAGTTGCATAATAATTCAAACACTGTTTACTGGGAAGACAGCAAGAATGTAACTCGGGAACCTTCCTTGGCTGAGGGTCTTGGATGAACAAATAGTATATCAAGGTGTTTTAGTTGCTGCATGAAGAGTATATTTTGTGTCTGTCAGATGGACTCTCTTTCTCACCATCTGCCTAACAATCACTTGAACTTAATCTACATGTTATTGAAAAGCCTGCCTTCAGTAACTGGAGAAGGTGACCTTAATCTCTTTTAATATCTACTGAAGAAAATGTCTGTTAATAAAAGGGTGCCGGGTTTAGCCCTAAAATAACAATAGAGAAGTTCTTTGGACTTCTGCCTTCATTTTGTATAAAACTTTCAATAAAATGCCATCTTGGTTGTCAATGCGTAGTTGTCTTTTAATTATTGGCTGCTAAGCAGTCACTTATTTTTTTTGCTGTTTTTGAAGGCAAAATCTCTCATGAGACTTTCCAGGTGTTCCGGGAAAAACCCAGAAGAAGTGAAACTGTTTCACTCTTAAACTGTAGATATATCTTGCATGCGTCTTATGCCCACCTTAGCAAATTAATTATGTGTTGTATGACAATGAATGAAGGTACATGAGAGTCTTCTGGGCTGTTTCGCTTATGATGCCTGTTAAAACAGAACTTCGGGGGAAAGGGGAAGGCAGGGTCTTAAAACCAATACTAAGAGAAATCTAACTTGAGTGAATCTTGAGTTCTTACTGTGTGTGTAAAATTATTTAAAGGAGCGAATAGCTGGATCCATTGTACCCTTATTCTACAGAATAACATTGAAACTCAAAACACATATTCTTCATGGTAAATAAAAGTAGAAACAAGTACTATTTTGCCTGAACATGTAGAATACCAAATACAATCATACTTCCAGTTTTGTAAGCAACTTTGATGTAGATAGATGCTTTTTTTGATCTAATTTCTTGCAAGTTTTTAAATCCTTATTTTTGAGGGGGAGTAATAGCCACAGAATGGGGTGCTTTAGTGTCACCAAAGAAATATAATATATAAAAAGGTAAGAGTCATTGTTTCAATCTATAACTCTATAGGCTTGATCTGAAAGGGAACATTCTATTAAAATAGCTTCTTGGTTTTTCTGAGCAATCAGGTTTAACAGTATTGTAATTCTCTAACTGTCAGACAATCCTATTAGTCTCAAGAAAACTTTCTATCTGCAGCTGCAACTCGGAGAGAAAAGCAATTTTTACCGCCAGGATTTAATGTTTATACGTGGGTAGTGGAAACTGCCCTCCAGGAAAGATAGTGCTATAAGATGAAGACTTTTCTTGTAACCAGTGAAGGACAAAGATATAACTTCAGATTTCTGAATAGTGCTTTTTAGGTAAGCGGTAGTAGATTCCCTTTTTTCATACTTGAGCTGTCTGTTAAATGTTTGGAAAAAGTCTTGACTTGAACAGACATAAAATTTACTGTCCAACAAGTTCCTTTAATGAATGAACACTGCCTCAGTCATTCTTCACTAACAGAGAACACTGTGTAAATATACAGTCTCTAATTTAGTCTTGCCAAATCTTTGATGTTCCAATCCAACCAGCTTCAATCAGTTAATGAAATTATTGGTCTCTGATTTAGATTCATTGTGTTAGCCTACTGGAAAGAAAGCAACCTAATGAAATGTTCAGCAAAGCCCAACAGCAGTGATGCATGAATTAGTGGTGTTAAGCCTACTTTAGCCTCCATCTGTGTTCTACTTCAGCTCTGCTAGATACTTATATTGCAGGAAGAATGCAGCTTTTGGCAATGGCACCTAGCAAAATTTCAGTTCTAGATTTCTGCTGCCAGTGACACAAAATGTATTTTTAGCAATTTCAGTGGTTCTTAAATTTCATGAATAAAAACAGAGAGAGAATTGCAGTTGCAGAATTGTTATTTTTTATTTTTATTTACCTCCAACTCAGCATAGTAGCTGCTAGTTAGGTTTTATCTGATTTGGTTGTCTAGCTGGAACTCATCAAAACCTTTAAAACATTGAGGGAATACTTACGGGGTGGGGCGTGGACAAAGGGAATGAGAGGGAAGATATAAAAGATTTTAAGGGAAATCCTTTGCTTTTTGAAGGCAATCTGAAAACAGAGACTCTAATCATGATTTATTTGCCAATTCTACAACTTCAGATAAGATTTTAGGTGCCAGACCTCTCCTCTGCAGAAAAAGAAAGTATGCAATCTTTGGAAGCAATGTCAGGCTTCACAGGGAGATTATAGAGCTGTAGTTCATATCTGCAGGGAGAAAACAAGAAAAGCCAAAGCTCAGTTTGAGTTGACAATGGCCACTGTGGGGTTAGACAATAAAAAGGACTTTTTCAAGTATGTCAACACCCAATAGAGGTCTAAGGAAAACATGAGACTGATATCTGATGAAGATGGTCACCTAACAAGTAAGGGTGAGGAAAGGCAGAGGCCTTTAATATTAAAAACAAACAAAAATGTCATTAATGTTAGATGTTTAAGGAGGATCCTGTTTAAGGAGGGTTTTGTATATTTTGAATCAAACTTCAGTGCTCCCTAGATTCCTTTCTACAATCTGGAGAAGTTGTCTGCTCTTTTTCTTTCTACTAGTTGTAAGCTCAGTCTTATTCTTGTGGCCCGATGCCACTTTAATGCTCTGTCTCTAAATCAAACAGCAGAAATCAAAGTGATCTGTTTGAGTCTCTGGTGCCTGAGGGAGAGGAGCCAGCTTTGTTGATCAAAGCAGCAAGCAGGATCATTAACCTGTCTGCAAGGCAGTGCTGTCATTAGAGGAGGACAGAGTGACACAGACTAGCAAGGGTTATGATTTTGTCATGCAACCGAGATGCCTTGCTTGGCAACCAAGTACTGCCATATGCATGTACATAGCGAGGAGTTCCTTCTGTCAATTCTGGGCAGCATTATTGCTGTAAGCATAGTCATAATTCTGCTCCATGTCCAATAAATTAAAAACTACAAAACTTTATTTGAAATAATTGAACTCCAGCTGCAGAACAAAATTTTTGATTTTAGGATGTTCTCCAACACAGAAACAGTGCAAGAGCTTTATATCCAATCTGGTATAAAAGGTATTCTATTTCCAGTTCATAAAGATGAATATAAGGCATGTGACATCTTGTGTCTTGATTTAGAATATCCATTAAAGATGGATTAAAACTTGGAAGTAAATGTTTCAGATGTTTTCTAAAGGCTTGTGTTTTGAGATACAACAGTGTTATTTTCTCTCTCTTTTATTTTATTTTATTTATTTATTTTATTTTGTTTTTAAAGCCTGGTAGAGGTGCTATGGTTTCAAAAAGTCTTAATGTCCTACAGCATTGTAAACCTGCTCTTGGATCAGTTTCTCTCTAAAACATTCCATGGTTTCTTTTCTCTTAAAGGACACATTTGTTATCAATAAACCAATAGACCTTTCTTTTTATTTCATGGTAGGAATATCAAGCAGTTTAGTACTAATGCAGCATACATATGCAGAATTAAAAGTTTTGCTTAGTAAGAAAAGAATTCTAAGTTAGTGTGGTTTGTAATCAAACCATACATTGGTTTAAAAAAAAAAAAAAAGCAAAACAAAGCTTTTAAATAAAATGCTTTTTCCCACAAAAATCATTCATTCTATGTAAAAGCTTGGAAGAAACAAACTAGCAAGAATTTAGGCAAAAGTTTTTAAATCAGACTTGAGAGTGATGCTTGCCCTCCTTGTGAAAATTATCCCAAGGAAGAAATGAATATTTCTCAATTCATTGTATTTGTGCTGCATGTTGCCTAAAGTTAATGGCTTTAAAGAAATAATGTAGTTATTTTAGTCATTGGGAGTTGTTTTCTCCTTTTTTAAACTGATTGGAATAAATGAGTATCTTCTTAACAGTAGACATGAATTAGTTTTAAATATTTTCTGCTTGTTGTCTATTGTAATACTGTTCTCTAGCCTTTGATCAATAAAGTGATATTTTATCTCACTATGGCAGTAGTAATGATGAAATTTTGATCTCAGCCAAGATGTAAGCTATTTCATTGCCTATATCCACACATCAGAGGAAAAAGAGGATTCTTTCTTGCTTGCTGTTGAATTGATTTATGTTGCCTCATTTAAGCAAAACAAAAATAATGAAGCAGCCTTGGAATACTACAGATTTTCTCCTAGGTTCTTTTTCTAGACATGGAGAACTGGAAAACATGCCTTAATGAAGGCGACTTGCGGCAGTTTGCTTTTACTCCTTCTGTGTTTGTCACAGCTGTTAAGATATTTTCCTTAAAGCAAAATAACCTCCCAAACAAAACAAAAAACTGTGAATAGTCTTCCTTCTCCTCCTGGAGGACTGTAATGTGGTGTCTTTTTTTTTTTTTCTCCAGAATTTTCTGAGAAGCTTAGTATTTGTACTACCCTTCAGGATTTAAGGGAATTTAACTTCTGTGTTCAGGCCTTGTAAAAAAACTTCCAACTGAAGTTTCAAGATGGTGATAGAGGTATAGGATGATGTCAGTTTGACTCTTCAAGAAATTACAGCAAACCTAAGCTGCTAGCACCACAGAAGAAGTGTTGTCCATCTGATTAGTTCTTTACCACAAAATGACTTGAAAACATTTTACCAATAGATACACTAATACAAAGCACCAAAGTTAGAAAATTGCTGTATGCTGAATGTTTTAAATACCATTTTACTGGAGTGGAACCAAATGCACTTGTATAAAAACAAATTACTAAGAGAAATGAATAGCAATGAACTTGTATTCAGATCCTGAATAGCAAACAGAAGGCACTGGTAAAAAAAAAAAACAAACAACAACAACAACAAAAAACACTATGATGACAACTCCATAGTTATGGCTACCTGTTTTTCCTATCATCTGAAAGGGCAACTGCAGCTATTACTGTTCTTAACAGCTAGCTGTGTGTTCTGCATCCTGCTATCACTTAGTTCTGTGGATACTTACAGAAATATTAGTTGCCTGATGAGTCATCCTCAGAACACAGCATTTTAATGAAATAATGCTTGGCGTGGGGTAGTTTAAGTGAAAACTGGTGGAAATTGCTTGAGCTGGGGAAAAAAATACATTGGAACATTTTTGTACTTCAAGTCTTTTAGAACAGGGAGTAAAATAAATGAGTATCACTAGAAAATGAACCAAAAATTTGATGCTTCTCTTTAGCTGGCCCAGGGGTCCTTTTCTTCAGAGAAAAAACACAGCAAGTTATATCTTGTGTCACTGGATGAAGAAGCAATTTTGCTAAATATAATTTTTTGGGTACCTTCTTTTTTTCTGTTTCCTAAAGGTTGAGTTGTTTTCCTATATTTTCTCATAATCTTCCACCCCCTGTCTACACTTTGGTTTTTACTTTCCACTGGAATTTGTATGGACTGTTTACCATGCAAAACAGTATGTGAATCTTCATTCTATATTGTCTTTTTCCTAGGGGACTTGACTTGAGAAATGCAGATTCAGGAGGAGGAAGGACTGTCATCAGGGAGTTACTAGTAGTGACGCTTTACCCTACTTTTCTTTAGGAGTAATGACCCACCAAGAATACATATTAATTCTCAGAGTTAAATTTTTTATTTCTGAAGGATTTTCAATTGAACCATTGTAACACTTCGGTGAAAGTACTGAATTTGCTGAGGCAGGCCCTGTGTAGAAAGCATGAAACTGTAGTAAATAGCACCTGAGCCTTGAGCAGAATTTCCGTGGCTAAAAGAACTACATTATGTCCAAGCTACAGAGAAAGCAAATTCTGTAGCAAACTCCACACAGAACAAATCTGCTATGGCCTATATTGCACTTTCTTCTTAACATCATATTCTCCTAACGTATTGCCACAGGCCATCTATACCAACGTCAGTGTAAAGTAGATGATGTTATGTTAACTTGTTAGTTTTTCTCTGTGATTTATAATTTCCCTTCGGATATATATGCTGAGTGACCTCTGTAGCAAACATTTTGGTAGGTAGAAACACTGCAAGCCTCAGTAAATTGTCAGTTGAAAATACAGCTAGGTTGGACACCTTGCATTCACTACAGACTTGTGTAAATTGTAAACTTCATCCTGTAACAATAACTACAACAAATTAGAAGGTACTTCAATGAACAAGATATGAAATAAAGGAATTCAGATGTTTAGCTGATACAAGCTCATGTTCTTTTATGGTTTCAACAGAACCATGCTGATTTAGTTCAGATGAATTCTTACCCCTTCTCCCTATTGCGTTGAAAAAAGGTGTTTTGGTTCACAGGATTTTATGGCTGTGCTTAACCTGAGTTGCTGCTGTGAAGATGGCACAACAGTTCTGGCCTATGTATATTGCTAATATAACAATATGCAAGTCTGAACATGAGGTGATGTTAAAGACAAATAAAATTTGTGTTTTAGCACAGTGCTGTCTGTAGATGCCACACTGCTATTGCCTGAAGACATGTCAGCTACATTATTCTAGTTGATGGTTGAAAATTTTAACTTCCAGCTCCAGTTGGAATATTTTTAGCAAGAAGCTGTTGCAGCTGAATCACAGGAAAGGGTCTAAGGAAATCTGCATCATTAGACTGGATAGTTGAAAACACACAGCTGGATGTTCTAAGGAGGGAGAGAGGTGATATGATTTAAACAGATTGTACTTCACTCTTAAGCCAAAATTGTCTTGTAGTTTTTTGAAAGTCAGCTGCTTGCTTTTCTAAAAGATCTTGTATTGCTGATTGGTGGTGATTCCTTGACTGGAAACACTATGAAGTGTCATTAGGAGAGGCAAGTTGAAATTCACACCCTTCTTTGCCTTAAGCCTTATGAAAGTAGGTGATTTTGTTAAACAAGATGATCATTCTTAATGTTCAGGCTATTTAAGACTAGCAAAGGAATAAATTTGCCAGGGGAGGTTTAGGTTGGGTATTAGGAAAAATTTCTTCACTGAAAGGGTTGTGAAGCATTGGGTCAGGCTGCCTGGGGAAGTAGCTGAGTCACCATCCCTGGAAGTATTCAAAAGATGTATGAACGTGGTGCTTAGGGATGTGGGTTAGTGGTGGACTTGGAAGTGCTAGGTTAATGGTTAGACTTAATGATCTTTGTGTTTTCCAACCTAAATGATTCTATGAATGTGTTTTTCTGACGCGCAGTGTGAATTTGGCAAAGGACAAAACAGTGGCCATAATGACAATAGAATCCTGTTTAGTTTTGAAGTTGACTAGAAAAGACAATACAAGGAAGGGTGAAACCATTTCAGTACATAAAAATAAATAAATAAAAATGTGTTCTGATTGCAGTCCTCCAGTTTAAAAAACAAAAACAAACAAACAAAAAAAAAACCAAACACAATAACATCAACAAACAAACAAACAAAAACATGGGGGAGAGAGGGGAAGAAAAAAAGCCTGAATATTTTTGCAGTCTGGCATAGGACCATTACAGTAAAAGCTGGACTAGTGAAGTGCTATGTATCTGCTAACAAAATACATTTTGTAGCTCTTACATGGTCTGAAGAAGCTGCAGTTCATGTGTGTGTGTTGTGCTGATAAAAAAAATTCAAGCTGTAAATTAAGCTGTAAATAATTTTATAATTCACAACAGGTGTAACTCTGGAGGCCCAGAATTAACTGTATCTGAAGCCAGTTTCCAGACTGGAAATCTTCCAGATTATGTAACAGCATTTTATTTCAACCTGCTGTACCATCAACCCACAGAAATACAACAGAACAATATTTTCCCTTGCTTCACATAACTCACAATCACCTAAACTTGTCATCTAGACTTTCTGCACAGTTCTAGTAATATTTCCAGCTGCACAATTGCTTTTTCCTCTAAAGTCCTCACTTTTTTTTTTTGCTTTCACTCCAGCTTTTCATGCTTATACCTTCAGTAGCCCAGTCCTCTTAAAGTAAGTCAAATCTCAGTGAAACTTGTGCTCTGTTTCCTCATGTTACAAGTATGAAGTTATTTTACTTTTTATTTTTTTTACCAGTTTAATTCTTTGGGCTCCAATACATATGGTAAGCCTCTGTAAAAGTTAATGCACTTTATGCTTCCAGGTTGCTTAGATTTTTTTTAAATCCCATTGCTAGTCCGCACTTGGTTTTGATTAACTTAGTAACAGAACTTGTTCATTTATACAGACCATTCAGAGATTTGGTCAAGCATAGGTCAATCAGTCCTCTCTTCAGTTACACAAATAGCTCTCACTTACGCTGTGTGGTTTTCTCTCCCTCTTCTTCTCCATTTCTTTTCTGTAACTGGTATCTGATGGGGCTGGGGTCATTCTTTTGATGTAAGATCTCCAAATTACATTGCAGACTTCAGGAAGCTTTTCAGTAGGTATTTACTTGTTCTTCAGCCAGTGTTGAAAGGCGGTTTTTCATTTGGCATATGAGAGCTCTCCACTGCTAATTGTGCCAGGTATGATGCAGAATGGACAAGATGATTTTTCAAGACATCTAATTTTTAAAAGTAAATGCTAAGATATTTATCTAGGTTGGATCCATGTAACCGTTCAGATCCGTTGAATCAGAATAGTTCACATTCATGAACTATTCATGCTTCATCATCTCAACATGTTGAAGCATGTCTGCAGCCTGTGTTGAACTTTGTCTGACCTGTGTCAAGCACTGACATCCATTAATTTGTAGCTCCACAAAAATGTGACAAGTATTTGCTGTCTGTTCTCAAAGGGGTGTTGTAAGTTTTATCTAATGGCATTTTAAAAATGCTTTGAGAGCCACTGATTCAGGAAATATGAACTAGAAACTTTCAGTCTTTCAGCAAGCATACTGACCCAATAGTTATGTGGATGCCAGTTGTTCTGATAATATAATCATGAGTCATTTCCTGACCTTCTTGTGGAGGATGCAACTAATGTAAGCCCACCCCAGGATGGGCTGAGACTGTCTTAAAAATGAATTTTACTGCTATGTTCTAATTCCATACTGTAGTGCTTTTGAACATTTAAAAGATGGAAGGGAGTGAGCTTGATTTGTTATGCCAAAGGCCATAGAGCATATGTATTCCACTCAAAAAAAAAAATAAAATGCAGAGAATGTGATTGTTGTACATCAAAAGAGTGTGCGTGTATGACTCAAATATATACCATCTGGAATATTGCTATTTAGTAAGGAAAGAATCTGGTTGGAACTGCATATGAGATTCTTGAAGTGCCTTTTTTTTTTTTTAATGGATACCAATCTTTTCTTTATTAAAAAAAAAATCATTTTTTTTTTTTATGTACACTCTTTTGCAGGTCTAAAAGCAGGAGTGCCATGTGAAGTACTAAAGACTTTTTATATATAAATTTCTGAATCATATACCAAGTGAGCTGTACAGGCTGGTGGTTCTGTAATGACTGTTGAAATAAGTCTTAATTTTAACTGATTTTTATCTTTGCAGGCTTCCTCTTGGCTTTCTCTCCCCCCCCCCCCCCCCCCCCATTTTTGTAGTTGTCTCTTTTTAAAACAAAAAGAGAAGTCTTACAGAAATATTGATACATTGCTTACTTTTATTTGACGTTCTTGCAGCACAGACCAGTGTGACATTCCAGGCCCAATGAAATTAAAATTTTCATTTCTTCTCAAGCTGCAAGAGGTGTTATGATACCAAAGTAGACTGAAACCTTTCTTGCTGTGGAGTCATTTTTTTTTTAAAGTAGTACAAAGTTGTTGGTTTGGGGTGTGGTTTTGTTTGTTTTCATTATTTATTTATTAATACAGTGAATGGATTGGAGAATAGCTTACTCCTGGACATAGTCATGCTTTATAAAAAACCAAAAACAAATAAAGTAAAAAATAAAAATAAAAAATCAAAACCCCATAATTTCCCAAACTGAAGACTGTTTCAACTCCTTAAAAAAAAAGCAAACAAAATTAAAAAACAAACAAACAAAAAAACAACACAAATTTCTAATGTGTTCTAGGTATATGCATATGTTGGTTTGCTTAGGCTGTGTCTGCTAAACCCAATGAAATAATGTGTTAGAAAGAGTCTTAAGTCTCAAGGTATAGAATCCATATTTCACCTGAATCACATGCTTGGACATGAATTTGGCAAAATAACATGAACAGAGGGTCATGTTATCTGAATGACAGCTCACCGAAACTGTTCTTTAAAAAGACTGGAATAATGTTGATTGGAAAATGGATCAATTAAAACAACTGCTTTCTCCAGGATTATTCTTTTGTAGTCTGTCCTCCCTAGCAGTAAAGCAGGACCATCTGGGTTCCTTATAATTTCTGGACGAATAATTAACTGATCCTACGGAAGTAATCCATTTTTTTTCTAACCATCTATAATTTAATGTAGTATTAAGACAGAGTAATTGAAGTATGGAGTTCCTTTCATGTGAGAAGGGGCAGGTTGGGCAAGAGTTATTTTAGAAGGATTATGGTAGGTCTGAAAAATCACAGGTGGAAAGGTGACTACTTTTTCTTGGAATAAGAGAGAGTACAGATTCAAAAAGGGATTACATCAACTTGTGAAGTAAAGACAAAGCCATGGCTAGTGTAAGCAGTTGCTTGGTTGCAACCTCTGATGCAGAAAGTCTTTAAGCCATTAAATGTGTTGATGCTTTACCAGGCAAAGCCTGACAAAATAACTGTTATTGTCTTTAGATGTTGAGAGCTAGACATTGTTTGGAAATAGGATATTTAGTTATGTCAGTTTTGGGTTGACACATTGCAAAGATTTGTGTGCTTATAGTTAAAGACAGAAGAAACAGCACTGACAACTGGGTTGAGAAAGCAGAGATTTTTAGATGCTACAAATGATTTCATATTTCCTAACTTTTTTTTGCTTCTGAACGTGAAAAGATTCAGAGATTGAGTGGCCCACAATCTCTGGAAATCTGCTCCAAGTATATCTGAGGTTTAACACCTAAAAATGAATACGCTTGAGGGTGCTTAGGGTCATGGTTGTTTTATTAGGGGGCAGAGGGTGGACACACAGCAACTTTGAAAAGAACGGAACTTAGTGCTTCCCTTGAGGAACTGTAATTGGCCACTTGCAAAAGGCCATATGTTGCATCTTTTACTCATATTGGTGAGTTGCTGGTCATACAGTTCACTTGAGATGAATTAACTGAGAGTTTTGTGGCAAATAAGTAGTGCAACGTGAGCTGCTAGAAGACAGTAGATCATATCAGTGCATAAAAGTAACCAACAAAAACAGCATAGCAGAGATCAATTAACTTTTAAAATTATTTTAGATGTTTTGGATGGAAAACCATCTTGGAAGGACAAATGGACAAGATAAGCCTCGCAATCAGTGAGAAAGGAAATTACCATCTGGAGAAAAACAACAACAAACAACAAAACTAAAAAGCTATAGACAAATTTTATAGGAACCGTATAAGAGGGATGACAAATATTTTCTAAAGCATGAATCTGAAAATAAAGGAGAGGAAGATGCGCACTAATCTACCCCTATCACTTGCAGGTTGCTTTTGTACATAAGATCTTTTAATGTTTCTGCTAACTCTGTTCTGTTCCTTTTGCATGTGGTATGTTTTCACATGGCTTTACGTGCACTGATAGTGCACTCAGTCCAGAAGAAAAGATCCATTTCTATTTTCAACTTGAAATAGCTCTCTCTATCTTGTTCCTGTATCTTCTGGTTTGCTTTATTTCCTTCTTCAGCACTAGGTGAATGGTTTTGAAATGATACTTCATGGATGTTAGCCATCCAAATGTCACTGAGTGTCCGTGAGTTGGATGGCACCTTACCTTTCCTCCTTGAGAGAGTGCAGTTTGGCAGTATGAGATTACAGTAGTTGCTGCTTCGCTGGGTAGTCTTTTCTAAGCAGTGAAAAATAAAAGCCATGTGTAACCTAAATGAACCGATGATTCATAACAATGTCAGAAAAGGGTGATGTGTAACAGAACTGGTGTAAGCTTAAAGGTAGTTATTTTTAAATGGGGAAGGGGAAAGATGGCAGGGAACAAAAGAAAAGAAAGAGAGCAGATATGGACACTAAAAAGCATGAGAAAAAGAAAGAGTATAGGGAGGAGTTAAAAATGGCATAGGAATAAAGATCATAATAACACATCCCAGGATAACAAAGAAGCAGCATTTTTACCTTATCTTCCTCCACCCCACTTCTCATCCGTTCAGCTTCTTTCCTATTTTCCATTCTTTTTTTTTTTTTTTTTGCATTAGTTCATGTTCATTATCTACAACATTCATGCAACAAATCTGCTACTTCAAAACACAACTCTAATATGCAGAGGCATCTCTGCAATGCCTGCATGTGTCTTTATATAATTTAAAGTAAGTTGGTTTAAATTTAGTGAGAGAGATGACTAGGGACAACATATACCAAAAATAACCAGATAACTTACTTGGGGGCTGAGCTCATGGCCTTTATCTTCAAAATACAGGAAGCTCTATCTTTTCAGGAGCTAAAGAAACAGCTTTGTCGCTTGAGCTGTTGGAAAGAGCTCATCTTCAGAAGGGGTGAATACATACTGAAGAGCCAGATAGTTTTTGATTTGTTTGCACGCAGACTTGGACATCATAGTTTCAAAAAAAAAACCCAAAAAATCAAACAAACAAAAAAAAACTAGAGAAAAATGCCTGCACAGATTAATTCAGAATTTTCTATATGTAGTTGGTTGTCTCTTTCCACAGTGTAAAATTCAGCATTACTTCTTGAATGCCTTTGGAATTTTGTACCATCTTTCCAAATTATATGATCATCATGGGGGAGAGGGAAGGAGTAATGCAAGAGCATCTGCTCAGACTAGATAATAACAAAGATTTTATTTCCATAAACTAATTGTATTTCAGCTAAGAATCTGAATAGAATGCAGCCAAAATAATGCCAAAACTTGAGCTTTTCCATTGTTCTCTTACAAGGTGTAAGAAACCTGGTCTTGTAAAATGGGATGTAAATAATGTTGGTTGTGATGCTTCACTACTTTTTTCTTCAAGGACCCTCTTACTAAAAATGCTTTAGCTTGCATCAAAATACACCAATAAAAATGTAGTTCTTAAACATATCTTTCTTTCCATCCTTTTACTTCCCTGTAAGTGTAATGCTAGGTAACAAATAGTAATTGAATTGCCTTCCTTACAGAACACTCTAACGTATAATAAGTGGTGGTTGTATTTACTATGTTATAAGGTTAATGTCTCCTTAGCACTGTTTGAAATGATACCTTATTACGGTTGTGAGGTTTGGGGCTATTCATATTGAAGCCTGTGATGTATACAAATTCTAAGGTATTTTTTTCTGCTATCTAAAGTGAAACAGAAGTGAAATAATTTGCATAGCATGACATAGCAGATCAATACCAGGACATGGATGAAATCAGACATGTAGTTTAATGACCTGCACAGTAGATTTCACTGCCTCAAGCTTAAATACCTGAACTAGAAATTTCAAAAACACCATGGAGATCTAAGAGACCAAGTTTCTTAGACCTTGTTCTTTCCTCATAATTTGTAGTTTTTTGTTTTAATTACCCAATCTACCTGCAGTTTTCTCCCTGACTATAATGTGAGGCTGGCACCATATCTTTTTCTCCTGTTGGTACTTTTCCTGGTTTTGTTCCAATTAGATTATAAAAGTAGACTGATTATGTATTTGTATCATACCTTGCACAAATGAGTCTCAAGTCTGGATTGTGATACTACACAATAAATCAAAATTAGAAAAGAGACCAACTTCTGAACAGCAGACACTTAAATACCTTCAACTTTGTATAAACTTGGAAAAACAAAAAGCAAACAAACGAAAACATGCACACAAGAAAAGGAACCAAAAAATAGAAGTTTTAAAAAGACCAGTCCAGAATATTATTAGCAGGGATGGGAAAGCCAGTGTAATGTATTAAAGCATCTGGAGGTTTTGCTATGAAGTCAAACGGTTTTAACACTAGCTTCAGTGAAACATAGGCTCAAATGAGGAGATGGGGAATTGCTGTTCTACTGTTGAAGAGTGCGGCTTTGGTGGTAGGAGAATGTAGCCATATATAAAACTATATTTTAAATGTGATCAGAAAACTATTGGGAGCAGAGGGCTAATGAACTATTAATAGTTACTAGAATAATAAGGTAATCAATTATGTGCTGTTATAAGCAGCTGATTAGGCCTGTGAGACATATTAACCATCTTTTTTGAAACCTCCAAGGCACTTATGGATTTGCTGACGGTCATTAGTAACAAGACTCACTCATGTTTGTTTATAAAAGCTGTCAGTTGTTTGTTAACATTTTATATACCTCCATGGAAAATACGACTTTTAATGAGCATTACGTGTCCCTTATCTGGACTGATTTTAGGTAAGTTTTGCTTTAAATCGGGAAGTCCAAAGCTAAGTCCTGATTCTGCGTAAATAGCCAGGGCTGAAGAATTTATATTTTCTCACTGCAGGCAGAATTCACAAAGATTAAAGCAAGTCTAGATAACAGTGTTATTAAAGGCATCAGTGACATGCACTGACTGCTTCTGGTTTGCTACCAGATGTGGAGCTGCAACATTGAAGAATAAAGACAGGAAATGGGAAAATAAATGATACTATAGGCAAATGATCATCACAGACCGAGCAGGACAATTGACTTGTGCGATGGGGCTGGATTAGTGTATTCTACCATTATTTTGTATTTATAAAGCTTAAAATTGTTTGTTGACTGGTTTATCTAGTAAACTTGCCTGTAGTACTAAAATGTTTTTTTCTTAAAATGTAAATGTATGCTCTTTTTCACATTCTAGTGCCTTGAGTTATAGTATCTTATTTCCAAAGGAGTTCTGTCATGGTGGTCTCCTTTAGAGTATCACTGGGGAAATGCTTCCATTTGCCCCAAATGTCAGCTAGTTTTCAGAGAGGCTTAGGAGACTGAGGAGTAACTCCTGGAAGCTGCTGTGCTTTCCACACACAAGCAGGGGTGATGCCAGTTGAGGGGTGTGCCTAACGAAGCAGAAGAGACTCGTATTTACTGCATATGTAAAATTACAGCGTGAGACAAAGCATTTGTTGCTCCTAGCTTTTGCTGGATAGTATTTAAAATAGTTTTTAGTGTGTTAACAGCTGTCTCCTTGTTCCTATTACTGGTCACACTCATGCTAAATTTCTGTCTTGAGGCTATGTTTAAAAAAAAAACCAAACAAGTCATAAGGTCACCTTCTTGCTACCATAGGTTTTATCTAATCGGAATGGAAAAGATCCTTCTGCTGTGCACCATCCCTCACATCAGCGTGGTTTCCTGCTGAGAGGAATTTTGCCTTTTTGTGCATTTCCGAGCCCGCCTGTGTGCGTGTGCCCGCGGGATCAGGTGGGCCCCGCCGTAACCCCGCCCCGCCGGGCCCCCCCCCGGCCGTGCGCTGATGGCAGCGAGCGCGGCGCCAGGGCGGGCTCCGGATTGGAGGCGGGGGCTGTCAATCCGCGGCCGAGCGAGCCCCGCTCTCCGGCGAGCCGCTTCCCGGCGCTGATCGCGGAGCTGGGGCTGGCTGCGATGGGAAGCGGCGGCGGAGGGAAGAAAGTTTGCAGCGCTCGGCCGAGGGGCTGCTCGCCGCCGTGATGCCCGGTGCCTAAAAGCCGCGGGCAGCCCGCCGGTCGGCGCGCCTTGCGGGCTGCTGTGGCCGCCGCTATCGCAAAGTTTTAGCGCTTTGCATGTGCTAAAATCCAGGATTTTAATCATCAGCCCTCCCCGCCCCCACCTCTCCTTCTAGGTAGGCGACGAATCTTCCTGTGCTGTGGATCGGAGAACTTTTTGCATGGAAATTTACTGACTTCGGAGGGGCCTCCGCTTCGGGGAGGGGGGAGAAAGGATTTATTTTCATCGCGGTTTTTGTTTTTTTTTTTTTGGATCGCAGGATTTTTGGAGCTATATGGAGCGATCTCAGGATGGTGTGCACCAGGAAAACCAAAACTTTAGTGTCCACTTGCGTGATTTTGAGTGGAATGACTAACATCGTTTGCCTGCTGTACGTGGGCTGGGTCACCAACTACATTGCCAGTGTTTATGTGAAAGTGCAGGAGCCGATCTCGGAAAAAAAGTTAGAGGAAGACAAAGGGGACACTTTAAGGATTATAGAAAGGCTGGACCATTTGGAAAATGTCATCAAGCAGCACATACAAGGTACCTTCCCCCCGCTTGCTTTCCCCCTCACCTCCCCGAAGCTTTCCGTGTGCCGCCCTCCATCCCCTCTCCGTGTTTGGCTTGTGTGTGTGTGTGTGTGTGTGTGTGTGTGTGTGTGTGTGTGCGTGTGTGCGTCTTGTTCTCGTCATTGTTTCGTATTTGTTGCTTGCTTTTGCCAAAATGGGTTGCCGCGAGGGGAATTCTTGTTCTCCTCCCCCTGTAAGCCTGGCTCTGCTAGTCCGTGTGGAGAGCGTGTGCGTCTGGGTGTGCTCCAGGTTTTCCCTCAGTGTTGCTGTAGTGGCGGGAGCCACTTGGGATTTTAGCTGGGACAGTCTCTCATTGGTGTCTTTGCTTTGCTGAGTGATCCCTAACTAGCATCTTCCTTTATATTTTCAACATCTGCATGGTGCCATACAGTCACTCCCTCTGTCTGCTAAGTGGGTTGGATAGTAAGGAGGGTGGCGGGTAAATGAGAGATCTAGAGGAACCATCTTTTTCTGCTTCTGCATAACCTCTACTGAAGGTTCAAATCCCAGTTCGAGTTTCTCCTAAATCTGCAAAGGCAGAGCAAAGCATACCTATCACCGGTGCACCAAAGCTCCCCTCCTTCTAGGCAGCTTTGGCCAACTGCTCTTCTGGCAGTCTAAAGAGGGGTGGAGCGGGCAGGGTGGTTAATCCTGTATGAATTGGGCTTCCCCCACTTAGCAATGCTCACAAGTTTGCAGCACTGTTAAAGCCCAGTTGCTTTTCTGTGGCTTGTATTAATTAATTTCTTAATATGTGACACATCACTGTACAGATTGCACGTACTTCCATTTGTCAGACAGTCTTGTCAGCTTGGGTAAATTAGTAAAATACTCCCCCCCGTTTTGTTTTGGAGGATGAGTTACAGCAGCTCCTGCAAGTTTTAACTTCTCTCATGCAGTCCTTGAGATTTTCCTGACTACTGAAAAAGAAAAGAAAAAATATTTGGTTTTTCCTGTGTGCCAGTGGAGTGCACTGTGGAAGCATGTATGAAAGCAGCAGTTTTTCAAAAGATGCTATTAAGAGTTAGGTACAGGAAATTAATCCAAATAGGGCTAGAGCATACCTCCAGTTTTGTAGGCGTGAAGTTCTGATAGTCTTCTTTTCAAGGAAAGTAATAGTGACCATATGGTCTTGTTACTTTGGGCAGTGATTCTTCTCAGTCATAGAGAAAGGGATGGATTTGCATAAATTAAAGCATAAAATTAATTTGTGACAACTTGTGACTATACAAAAACCAAACCAAAAAATATTTTTCTTAAATAACATCTGTATGAAAATTGAAGAGAATATTCCAAAAATAAGCAAGCAGTTTGGTAATAAGTACTATTAGTATATAGTACTATTACTTGATAGTAACTGAGTTTCACAAGGAATTTCTGTGGCAGGGATTGCAGAATAAGATGGTATTTTAATCAGATCTTGCTTTAGTACTGTGAGATGTTATGACTTCTGGGTCATGTTGCAGAACTCACAGAAGACATTGGAAGGAATAGTCCAAACTTGACTGGGGTTTGGGTTAGCTTCAAGTTTATCAGTTTGAAGGTCAGCTTTAAGAAATTATAAGTTTGGGTTTCATTACCATAAATTGAATAAACCAGCTGCCAAATAGCTGGGCTAGATAATAATTATCTGTAGTTTGCTGTAAAGTTTTTGCTTGAGCTACTTCTTTTTTATGTTGGAGAAAGGTGTCAATAACTCAGATGTTCTGCAGTGCTGAACAGGCATGAAATTAGCAAGGGTAATAGAATTGCATTCAACAGGATACCCTGTGAATACCAGAAAGCTCTAACTGCAGTATTTTACACATGGGGTTACTCTAATATTTCATTTTAATTTGTTTTCTGATTGAATTGTTTAATTAGATGCCATCAGGGAATTCCTTTAGCATATAAATTACTATCTTGCAATATTACATCAAATGCTGTGGAAATGAGAAGGAAGAAGAGGTGCCTTCATTAAAAAAAAAAATCACTTTTTGAAGTATGAACTTTTAGAAAGACATTTTCAAGGCAAGAAAAGTGTTAGATTGAAAAGAGGTAAAAGAAATTCTGAGAGAATGAAAGTATGCATGCCTTCTTTCCAGAAAGAACAGTGTGGAAAAGGAAATATTGGTAGTGGTGTTGGCCAAGAATAGAAAAGTTGGAATGCACAATTATGTACCTGCTATACTGCTATTCCACAAAGTTAGTGCTTAACTATTTTTCCTATAGGTTTAGTAGGAGTCGTATGTTTTATTCTAGCAAGCAGGCTACTCAGAGCAACTTTGTTTCCAGTTCCTGTGGAGTTTGCAAACAAGACAGGGTGGTTATTGAGATGATTTGTGTATGCACGTTTGTGAAGGAAAATGAGGAAGAGAGCAGATGGATAGCTTTATGCAAAATGCAGTCTTTTTTGTGTCTAAAAAAGGAGTGTGGCAAATGTATCATCTATTACTCTTGAGTTTTATTACCAGAGAGAATGCTATAAAGAACTAAAGTTAATAAATATTGTATTAAATAAAATGTCTGTCTTTCCAACATAACGTTCAAAATATTTTTTTCTTAATTTTATTTGAAAACAGTATGTTCTGTCAAGTTCGGAAGGAGCATACTGGTTAAATAAAACTCCAAAGATTCATTTTATTAAAATCAATACGGGAGTGCATCAGACAGATCAGAACACATCATTCATCTGAATGCACCATGCATTGGTTCTGTCACTAAAGAATTGCCCTAAGTTGTGCGTGTGTGTGGTTGGAAGATCATGTGAGCAGGCAGGATGCTCTTGATCAGGTAGTTAGTCTGTAACAACGACAAGAGGCACAACACTATCAATAAGGTAGCAATTTATTTTCTGCAGCCTAGCTTTAGGCTGTCGCAGACGGTAAGCTGAACGTTTTTCTTGGAAAGCTATGCTGTGGTTAAGCAGGGATCCCTTACGACATACACGCTCTGCTATTTGTCATATTATGCAGTGCCATTTTATATTTTTCAACTTTGTAGTTTTAATCAGAAGATATTTGCATCCTAGCATTATTTTGAAAAATTCTGGTCTGTGAAATGAAGTTACTTTTTTGCCACCTAACAGGAACTTAAACAGAATTGATTAATTGCATACTATTAATATGTACAGTAGATCCAAGTTAAAGTTGCAAACACACAGTTTATTTCTGGAGCAGTTGAATTCTTATCTAAGACCAATAGATAGTTTCTAAGACATCTGTTTTGTGCTAGGAATTTTATCACTCATCTTTGCATCCTGCAGCATCTGTTGGCATAAATAAATGACATGTCAAGCACTCTGTAGACTTATTGGGGAAATTTTGATGTGTTATCTCCCAACCTGCTGCTTAGAAGGATATGCTCTGTGGGTTTACTTCAGCTGTTAGCTACCCCATAGTTGGATATCTAATCACCCGTTTGTGGTCAGCTGGGGAAGGAGGGATCTCCATTGTGAGACTCATTCCCTGTGTCTTGGACAGGTATTAGGACGGAATGAATTACTTTCAGAAATTGGGTATTTTGAACTTTGGAACCATGTCGATCCAGACTCTTTATTGTAGCCATCTACAAGTTTGGATAAGTAAATCCTATCCTTGATATCTACCTTTTATTTATTTATTGATCTCAAACGTGAAGAAAGAATGTAGTATGTAAACATCTGTTTGTGATAGCTGTCCTTTGCAGCCTGGCTACCTGTGTGAATTTATACAGTCAGACTTGTTTGGATTTGCCAGACTCCACCATGCCTCTTACTCTTGTGGTGGTTTCCTTTTGGGAATTGTTAGGCTGGGGGAATTTTACAACTATTTCCCTCAAGCACAAAGGCAGTTAGACATATTTGGAACTCACTGCATTGTATTTATTCTGAGAAACAAATCAGCAACAGACAGTAGCCCTGGGAACACAGTTCTTGCTCCACTACAGAGGACGCTGTATTCACAAGTATGTAAACAAGCAAGGAGACCTACGGTCCCAATGTAACTAATTGCAGAAGAACGAACTACTTGGATATGTGAGACACACGGGATTAATCCCATTATTTTTTCTCTTTAGGCTGTGACTTCTCAAGTCATTCTAGATTGCTGCATGTCAGTGCAGATTAACTTGAATTTAACTTTAATGTTCTTCCATGCTTAGGAATGGCTGTACTAAAGAAAATTTTAATAGAGTGTTTTCAGTTAGAAGTCTGATTCAAATGTTGTAAATTTTCAAGGCTTGCTTGGATGTACAGGTATTTGAAGGACCATCTACTGAAGACTTAATTACGTTGATCAATATAACTGCAACTTGATAATTTGTTATTAGTATTACTGCAGCTAACTTTTTTTCTGCTCTTAATACAATTAGAAGGCAATTAAAGATATTCTTTCATGGTGATTCTTGCACCAAGGATTTATTTTGCCATGGTTAGGACACAGTAGCCAAAACTGAGGAGGTCTACGCTCACTTTTAATAAAGTAGCTGCATTTTATTAGTAGTGATTGAGTAATTCATTTCTTGATTACAGTTGTTTATTATTATTTTTTCCTTATAGTGATATCAGCTAGATTGCTGTATTAATTAATTAATTAGGTTTATATCATGTGAATGTTGTGATAGTTACTTAGTTACTTTTTTTTTTTTTTTTTTTTTTTGGCGATTGTGCATGTTGAGCAAGAAAAAGCTTTGTAGTTGGGAAGGGAATTGACCTGGATTCTGTTTCTTTCAATGTAGGTAATTTCTGTAGTTCATATGAAAGTCTTCAACAATAGGTTAAAAAATGTATTGAGAAGCAAGGTTGGAAATTGAAATTTTTATGCCCTCCTTGAGTTCTCTTATTTCTATGCTGGACAATTTTGTCTTTTCTATATGAAAAAGATTATTTTTGTAGCTGTTTGTTATCTCTGCATAATGGCACAGCTTCAGTGGAAAGAGCGGATTGTGTGCTACAGTGTTTGAGCAGGTGATTTATGGACTGTGCAGAAATGGTGATAGCTATTCTGCTTGAGGTTC